AAACAACGTAGCCACAGTTAATGCAACAATCCACCATTCACATACCGTGCTGTAGAGTCAGTATGAGGCCCTCTTTGAAGTGGTTGACTCGTTATGAAGACTGAAACAATAAGGATGGTGTTACCATCTATTTACAAATGATTAGCAATCCACTGTCAAACAGTCAGCAGTTCACATCAGCACATCATGGAAAGCATTGGGCTATTTCAAAACTAATGGTCCAGATGTGGGCCACATAGTATCAACATCCACTGTCAGTCTGCAGTTCACATCAACACATCGGCGAAAGCATTGGTCCATTTCAAAACTGATGGTCCAGATGTGGGCCACTTAGTATCAATATCCACTGTCAGTCAGTAGTTCACATCAACACATTGGTGAAAGCATTGGTCCATTTCAAAACTGATAATATAGTCCACTTATTATCAACAGTCCACTGTCAAACAGTCAGCAGTTCACATCAGCACATCACGGAAAGCATTGGGCTATTCAAAACTAATGGTCCAGATGTGGGCCACATAGTATCAACATCCACTGTCAGTCTGCAGTTCACATCAACACATCGGCGAAAGCATTGGTCCATTTCAAAACTGATGGTCCAGATGTGGGCCACTTAGTATCAATATCCACTGTCAGTCAGTAGTTCACATCAACACATTGGTGAAAGCATTGTTTTATTTCAAAACTGACTGTCCAGATATAGTCCACTTGTTATCAACATCCACAGTCAGTCAGCAGTTCACATCAACACATCGGCGAAACCATTGGTCCATTTCAAAACTGATAGTCCAGATATGAAGGCAGAATGGACAAGGTAAATACCATCAACCACCCATGAAGCGTACACATTTTTATCCATAATCCATCACTGATCCACTTTACCTTGAGTAGTTGACTCAATATCAGACCATTAAACAGACTGAGCAGACACAAATACAACTGTGGCAAAGAACTGCAGTAACTGTAGTACATGTGTTGTAACTACCATCCACAGCGCCATCATCAGATGGTCACATCCAGGAAAGACGCCAGCGACAGAACACCAGCTTTCCACAGGCTGTCTACAGTCTTACGATCAATCCTCACAATTCCTCTGTTGACCCTTTAAAATTATTTCTCAGAACCGGCGGTGCTGCCTGATGTGCAGTTCGTCTCCAAAGAAGCCTTTGACACCATGAACGCAGCCATGGACATGCTACAGGATCGGTTTGCTAGCGTCATGAGGGAGAAGGCGGAGCTTAGCGAGAGGTGTCAGGAACTGGAGCACATCAACCTGCAGCTGTCTGGCGAGACGGAGACAATAGGTGAGTGGGAGGGGCTTAGGAGGGTATGGATGGAGCTTAGAAAGTGGGGGGGATTGGCTAATAAGGAAAGGGAGGAGCTTACTGGGAGGTCTGGAGCTTGAGCACATTAACTAGCAGCTATCTGGCGAGATGTAGACAGTAGTTGAGTGCAAGGGAGGGGTTTCAGATAGAATGGGTGGGGCTAAAGTAAGTTGGAGGGAGGGGCAAATGAGGGTAAGGCTTAGCTTACAGGTATCAGGAACTGGAGTACATAGACCTGCAGCTGTCTGAACAGATAGAATCTCTTGATAAGGATGAGGGAGGGATCGGTGAGTGGGGGGCTAGTGCCTAAGAGGGAAGGGGAACCACCTAGTAGTGTCTGGGACTTGTACATATCAACCTTGCAGCTTGCTGGTGCTGCCGAGAGAAGAGACGGCTGTTGGTTTAGTGATGGATGCCAGGAGATTGAACACGTCATCAACCTGCAACTAAGTGACAGTTGTGCAGATGAGGCGACGGATGCTGAACAAGGCTTGTGGACTTGTTTGGGGAGGGCCTTGGGGAGACAATGGGTGGGGCTCAGTAAAGGTTGCCCCCGATGAAATAAGTCATCATGGTCACGTTTGTAATACTCAGTGAATCCTTTTCTGGACAGGTGAATACATTAGTCTGTACCACAGCCAGCGAGACATGATGAAAAGAAGACAAGAGGAGAGAGAACGCTTTGTGGTATCATTAGCCAAGGAGAAAGAAGAAATGCAGGTAAGGCGTCCTATCCACTATCTATGAACTGCTATCCACTATCAACAAACTGCTATCCACTATCAACAAAGTGCTGTCCACTATCAACAAACCAATATCCACTTTCAACAACCTGCCATCCGCTATCAACAAGCCGCCATCCACTGTCAAACTGCTATCCACTATCTACAAACCAGTATCCACTATCAACAAGCTGCTATTCACAAGTCAAATCCATAAGTTGATCCAAAACATGGGTCTCCATGTTCCACTACACAACAGCCCAATACATGTGCATTGTCTACTAGTCTGTCATCAACTTTCCACAGTTGTGGTGCAGTGTTACTGTTCCATGGCAACCATCCAGTATTCCTCACTGTTGAGCCCTCCCAAACTAGCTCACGTCTAACCACCTTTGCTGAATCTACCTTCCTCTAATACCATCTTCTTTAACATGTCTAAAATCAAGATCCACAAGAGAAGTATTTGCATGTTTTCCAAACAAGTCATTTATTCAGAAATGTTTTCTTCATCCAGTTTTGAATAACCTTTATGTTGGTTTCAAACGTAAAAGTATTTTAGATGCTTATCAGATTGAAGGAATGTTCTTAATACCCCAAATGGAGGCACTCTTTGTCTGCATTACAGGATTCTGTTGTTGTCAAATTAATACCTGGTAATTTTTTTTTGTTACGTCTTTATTTTCTGTCGTTCTTTTTCCACTTCTCCTTCCAGCAAAAGCTGAACCAGCTGCAGAACCTCATGATGCAGTTGATCCAGGAGAAGCAGCGCCCGGCCCACTCACGCACCCCCAACCAGTTCCCATCATTCCTGGGTTCCCCTTCCTCAACCCCTGGGGGCGCTAACCCAATCAACTCCCCAGCCTCGCCGTTCGGTGGTCTGGTGACCGACGCCCACCACCATCACCAGAATCATAGTAAGAAGCACCAGACGCTGAGCGGCAGCTTAGACAGTACCACTTTAGACGGTGGGTGTTAATCTGTGAAATTTTTGGGGGAGGGGGAAGTGGGGATGATCAGTGGTCATCATTGTCGGTAAAACAAGACGATTGAAAGAATTTCAAACGGACTCATAGCCTTGGTTTTTATTTCTGTGCCTAACTGTTTACATTGGAGCAGAGCTGAAGGAACCAGGAAATGAATTTTTCTTACAATCTTTTTTGTGTATCTCTGTACTGTTCTTCCATGTATGAAGACTGTTTGACATCTCTTTTGAGTTACCTGAACTGAACGGTGCACTTTTCCAAACATTACAAATTACGAAGCATTTCTGGACAAGTGAGGGCGCTTTTGCTTTGATGTAAATCCAGGAAGACATGGTTCAGGCTGCATGTTTTCATGTTCAAATTGTGAATCCCAAATTTGCTATCTGGGGACTTTTCTGTGAAAAGGATGTTTGCTAGATTATTGCTATATACTTATACACCAATAAATTGCCAAAGAAAATAAAATCTGCTATAGCAGTGGTTCAAAAAATTTTGAATTTTTTGTGCACAAATTAGTGCAACATTGAGATTCAGTGCCTTGGATGACACCATAGTTCTGCTCATGAATATGCAAATATGCATTAGCATAAAACCAAAAAAGCTTCAAAATATGGGTTAAAATTGCACAACATAAATTTAAAATAAGGTTAATTGAAACCCAAAGATGCAGTTTCAAGGGTTTTTAGTAAAATTTATAAAAATATTTCTATTTCCTGGTTCCTTTAAATTGGTTGTATGTACTTCAGTTTTTGCTCAAAGTCCCTCTGATCCTTTTAAAACTCTTTGTAAGTCACTTTGGGTGCATTTGTACAAAGTAGGATTATTTTTGATGTTTAAAAAACAAAAACAAAAAAAAACCACCAAAAGTCCTTCTGTATTTTCCTCCTGTTAGAAAACCTGGGCTTATTTTTTGGCACGGCTACGGTTGTAGTTGGCAGTGACGAGTACTTACATGGGCAGTAAAACAGTGCTAACCTGAAAATGTATTTGATGTCCTAAATGTGCTAATGCCTGCACACATGTGGAGAGTAGCCTTGTTAACCCCTTGACGCAGGGACTCTTTTTTCTGACAGCCGACTCCGAGAATTCCAGCCTTGCTTGGCCACGAAGGCTACCTGCCAAACCGCAAATTCTCGGTTTGTGGCCCTGCGTGCTCTGCATGNTGAAGCTGGTGATTATGATGCAAATAAGGCCTTTTCGTTTCTTGGCAACATACAAAGGCCAGTCACCACATATACAAGAGCCAGGGTATGCTTTCTTTCATCGTGTTTGCTTGAGCTTGGGCCGAGAATAACAGCTGAAAAGTGGGCTGAGGAATCTCAATTTTTACGGCTGCTCGTTGCTTCCCGTAGCGAAGGGGTTAATTCATTATCTTGAGCAGATTTATCTGTGCAGTTGCTACAAGTGTCAAAAACAATTGAGCATTACTGCATCAAGGAAATTTTGTATTATCTCTGCACCTTCAGATGACAGCGACGGTGACGACTGGCCATCTAGCAGCAGCGACAGTATAGAGGAGGCTACCATGGCCGAGCACTACCACACCGCCCACAACCTGACCCTGGACAACTCCTCTCCCCATCACGGGCCCGGCCCCCGGCCCACCACGGACCACACAGCCCAGCAGATCATGGAGCTGCTGGAGCAGATCGGGGGCTCGCACATCATCGACCGGGGTACCATCTTGGACCGGGACTTTGCACCCTGCAAGTGCTGCAGCGGGCACCTGGTGGATGTATGATTCACCTCATCAAATTCCAGGCTTTTTGATTTCTCCGTTGGGAGAGAGAAAAACCTAGAGGTTTTGCATTCGGGATTTCGCTGCTTGTGGATTTCACAGTGTCTGTCCTTTGCATGATGGGAGGGATTTGAACGTGCTTCGGTCAAAGAAACGGCTTCTGGGGATGTTTCGTTGCTTCTCTTTGGTTGCACGATGGCTGTGAATGAACACATCAGCATGGCACCTTTTGCTTACTGTACTCTGTTCAGTTGTGCTTCTATAAAGTGTGTCATTTATTGCAGTGTAAGCACAGGACAATACACATTCACTGCCAAGGTTTCTCAGAGCATCCCTGACTCGGGGAAGAAATTTCCAGAATTTGTTTTTAGTCAAGACAACGAATGTTAGTTGCCACCGAGACTGAACACAAAATACCTTTGCTTGGGCGTGCTAGCAGTCTGCATGTTTCCAGTTCATTTGTGAAGCGATGTCAAACGGATAACAGCATAAACCCAGCATTTTTGTTGCTGTGAGGACCAAACTTACCTCAGTTGAAAAGCTTAAAGGCCTGAGGAGGATCAAATTTGCTGCACTTCGTATGCCGAGCTGCAAAGACAATTGTATTCCAAGTGCCTTATTTTCTTGTGAAGGGAAGAGAATCCGTGTATTAGCTTTGTGACGTTGTGCGTGTCATCAGAACACCTGTGTGTGTACGATTACTGGGATACCTCCGGGTGTGGCCAGATTTTTCTGTCTCCCTTTGTCCGTACTGTATGGAAGAAATACTGCAGTCATCCACAAGCTCGCGCATGGTTTGACCTTGTGAGAACGGCCCACAATCGGTGAATACTTCCTGCAGCGTCAGTTTGAATTCTTGGGAAGACCGTTCAGTTTTGGTGTGGGATCCTATCCTGCTGTGAGGAGCCGGCTGTTGTCATGAGTATCCGAGCATGTTGTAAAATATATATTCAGAAAAGATATTTGAACTGTTTGAGCGCATAGAAAATGCAAGCTCACCGAGAAACAAAGGAGATTGAATTTGATTTGGAAGTTGTGCTCTGCATGGTTGACAGTTTAGCGTGACTGATGCCTGAACATGTACATTGCAAGATCACCTTCCAAGAAAATGTAAATAGTTCCCTTTCGCCCACGGGCAAGGCGCCAAGGAAAGGACTTGCGGCGTGCCAGCATCGGTATCGCAAGTGCGAATGGCATGGCCAGTTTTCAGTTGAATGTGCACAAAACAAGCCAACAGGAGGGCACCCAATGCAGTTCCAGTTTCACTGAGCTGCCGGGCAGCATGCACTGCATGGCGCACGGTAATGAGCTTGGCCAAAAACCAGCGGAGGTAATCTTTTTTTTTTTGGTTTGTCAATTTTGTTTTCCTCCATCAGTGGTATTTTCAGCAGTGAGAGTAGCAGGAGGCGCGAGTAGTTCCAAATCGTCCCCCGTTCATATTTTCTGTCCTGTCACAGCAAAGGACGTAGTTGCCCAGTACTGACCACGTGTTAATTTGTATTTATTTAGTACTGACTGCCCTTTAGTATCTCGGAAATCCAGTTGGCGAGCCCACTCGAAAACCTAACTGAGGTTTTGCACTCAAATTGACATGGTGAATAGGCGAGATCGGCAGTGTCTCCCAAATTGCAACTGAAGTTTGAAACCGTGGTTATTAGGCTTTAGACTGAAAACATGATAATTCGGACAGGAGGCATGGTTCAGTATGTGCAGTTCATAAAATGTGGCATCGGCAGTCCGTTATCGGACAAGCTGTAGCCTCGAAGCTTCCCTGTCTGTTCTCATTGAAAAGCAAAATCTAATCTAGTATTGTTTTAGTCGAATCCATCACGAATTCCTTCACAAGCCCAACCAGAAGTAAACTGAGCTGAACAGTGACAAAGGAATGGTTTTGAAACAGTTCACTTTAAGAGCTTGTGACTTGGCCAAATACTGAATGATTTCTGGTGGACTGTAAGAGCCTTGCGTTGGACTGGACTCCAGCACTTCCATCTAGCTATTCGTGCAATTTGTGAGCAAATCACAAATGAGGTTGTTCAATCCATATTTCTAGTGAACATTTGAAACTCCTAAAAAAAACGAAGAGAAAAAAATAACAAGAAAGTTTGTTTTGTGTTTATTTTCCACCAAGAAACGTGTCTTTTATGTTCGTTTCAGTAAAACATTCCAGAATTCTAAAATATTTTGTTGTGCTAGAATAGATGTTACGGAGTGTCTCAAATTTGGAGCCCCCTTTTTTTTAGCACGGTCCTTTCTTTGTGGGAATATTGAGTGTTTTCTGTGGAACGTTATTAGCATTCCAGGTTTTGAAAAGTCTTCTTATAATAACAGTTGCATCCACATTCCATGGAATTGGGGATTCTCTTGTCGTGGATGGAAGAACAAATTCTGACCCACAAATTCAGATGATAAGGAACTGTTGGCCAATGCAACAAAATCTGACCACTTGATGTTTTGAATATCGGCATAACACTTCACAGAGCAGTTTTTGTTTTTGTCAGGTTTTTCGCTGCTTGTCCTCGCGTGGGTTTTATTTCTCTATCAAGTTTTTTGTTGCTTTCTGTAAACTTCAAAAGTTGTGAAAAAAGCAAACTATATTTGATATTGACAAAAATATATACAGTCAGTGCTCTTATAAGTTTGAAATAATTATATCATTTTTTTTCTTTAAGTAACAGATGTTTAATAGAAATATTATTTATGATTTAACCTTAATGTTTAGCTAGGTATTGAGGGAAAGTTTTTTCTTTATTGGCAAACAGTTTGATCTGCAAAAATACCGCAACAACTTCATCATGTTTGTCTGAATCGCTAGTTACCATCGAGAGATTTTATTTTTGATCAGGAAATTTTATTTCATTTTGTTTGTGCACAATATTAAAGAAGTTACTAAAAACTCTGGCCAGATGAATGTTCCTGGTCCTCCTGAAAAAAGATACTTAAGGTTTGAGGAAATCTAGTATTATTGACCGACTTGAAGACTACTTTTACGATGTTTCACTTCAGCAAAAGAAGTCAACAGTGTGTAGTATGTTACCTGGTTTTGAGGGGAAAAGGTAACGTCAGAAAGGCCTCACTGCACGATGAATGTTACATTTTGTTCAGATGTGAGCGAAAAAAAATGTTTCTCTTCCGCTCGGGAGATTAACTTGTGTTTAGGAGAGTAAGGTCAAAGCAGACAAAAATTATTATCGCTGTCAATAGTTTTGGGTGTAAATATGGACAATTCTCGTGACAAAGTCGGGATGAACTGTCATGGTTGTGGATATGTAGGATATGAAAGAACTATAAATAACGGTAATGCTGATGGCTAATGTGTTAATCAGCTTGACTGTTGTACACGTGTCTTGATAAAATATCTTTGCCGATATTTTAGCAAATGCCCGACCCCCTTCCTCAAACAATAAGAAATGAAAGTATTTAGGAAATAAGATTGGAAACGACCGGGGACATAAATAATACCGTCATTATGAAACACTGTAATTGTTCATTTTTTCATTCTTAATTAAAAAAGGAAAGGGTATAACTGCATTTTTAATTTGAATTTGTTCCAAAAGGGGATTTTTTTTGGCAGAAAATCAAAATATCCTTGTATACTTTTGCATTTGCTTAGAAATCTTCATAGCAAGCGTCTTTAGGACCTTGATGGATTTTCCGTGCCATTTGCTGGTAATTTCATGTTTGAAAAAGTTTGACTGGAAAATTTTAAAAATTGCAAGGGGTTAGCCTTGCAAATTTGGTCGAAAATTGATTTTTTTTTTTTTTCAACTGACGCAGAGATGTTCTTTGTTCCAAGATGGGCACACTTCAC